TTATTATTATTATTATTATTATAAATTAACTGAAAACCAGTTCTCACTGCTTTACGTGATATTCGGGAGAAATAACAGATTACGCATCGGAACTGCCTGGGATACAAACGTCATGCGTGTAACTAAACTCTTCAGCCAATAAGGGCAAAGGTGTGTCGTGACGAAGGCGGTTCCAGTTTGTGCATTGTAGTATGACTCATTTCCTGGCGCGTACAATTTATTATAGGTCAGCGTTCACGGTTCAAATTCTGATATTCAGATCGAGTCCAAGGTCAAACTGGTTTGTTTGACTTTCAAGAAATTCGAGTTCTAGTGAGTTCGAGAACCGAGGTACCACTGTATATATATATATATATTTATATATATATATATATATATATATTTATGCTTAGAATTCCCCTCCCACACACTTTAATCACATGTAAACTTATTAAAACACACTTTGTAAACACATATGATATGTGGATGTCGGGCTAAGGATATGAGTAACATAATAATAATAATAAATATGTAATATATATGTATATTTAGTTATACTTATTATAAATTATAATATGTATTGCTCTAACGAACTCTTGTCTAAAATACGTATAGTGTCCGCTAAAAACTGTATGCTTTGTTATGAATAGGCTGCAAAGTACACTACAGGTAGGATGTATTTTTACTCCATTTTTATTTATATACAGTACAGGTATATATATGTTATAATTACAGTAATACAGTGTTGTTATTAATAGTTTAGTATAGAAAAATACTTATTTCAACGTAAAAAGTTGTCAAAAACCCATAAAAAACTATCACTATATAAACCTCAGATTTCCACGACAGAAAATTACACATGTTCCACAGAAAAATCCGCAATACAGCTGGGGATCACTGTATAATGAAAATAATGGGACACTTTGGGCTTCATGGGCACCCTTGAGCTTCACAGGCCCCGGAGCGATGTACCGGCTGCACCCCCCTCTCCTCGGGCGTAGTCATTACATTTACTTAAAAGTAATACTCATAGTGGTGAGGTGATTTTATCTATTGGAGAGATATTGTCTGTCTCTCTGCAGGCTGTCAGGCTGTAGAGTCACAGAAGAAGGCTGTTCTTCCCTGGCTTCAGCTCTGAGGTCAAACTCCTCACACCTGAGAGAGCTGGACCTGAGTGACAATGACCTGCAGGATTCAGGAGTGAAGCTGCTCTCTGCTGGACTGGGGGATTCACACTGTAAACTGGAGATACTGAGGTCAGTATTACTGGGTATTCCACACTGTAATCTTTAATTATTGAAATCTTTAATAAAAAAAAGTCATTAAATTTACTTTAAAGTAATACTCATAGCGGTGAGGTGTTTTTATCTATTGGAAAGATATTGTCTGTCTCTCTGCAGGCTGTCAGGCTGTAGAGTCACAGAAGAAGGCTGTTCTTCCCTGGCTTCAACTCTGAGGTCAAACCCCTCACACCTGAGAGAGCTGGACCTGAGCTACAATCACCCAGGAGACTCAGGAGTGAAGCTGCTCTCTGCTCTACTGGAGGATCCCAGCTGTAAACTGGAGAAACTGAAGTGAGTACAGAATGTGTGTCTGTCCCTGTTATAAACTCGTGTATGTGGAGAAAATACAACAATTAAATAAATGGATACAGCAGTACGATGTCATTCTGCTTCTGCTATAGTGTGGATCACAGTGGAGAGTGCAGGACCAGACCAGGGATCCAGAAATGTAAGTTTGTTTGCATGTTTTTATTCTTAATCCATCATCACTACTTTATGATAGCACTCACACAATAATTGTGTCTGTGTTTTTTTCTTTTTTTTATAGACTGGTTTGATTTTAAAGATGACTGCTTTCTTAAATAAAAATGGTAGAGAGTGTAACAGGGTTTAATACATTCTGGTATAGTTGTGCATCTTTACAAAATATCCTTCACATGTGTTCTTCTTACGCATGCAGTGACTGTACTGTCTCAGTCTGCACTAGTGATGGGAGTTTCGGCCCTTTTTAGTGAGTCGGATCATTTGGCTCAGCTCACCAAGAAGAGTCGGTTCTTCCGGCTCCCAAACGGCTCTTCGTTTTATCACTTCTGCTTCAGCCAGATTCAGTGCTGTTTTTACCCATGATTGATATGTGTACTAAACCTTATAATTTCCTTAATACCATAATTTTACATTATGTTTGGCATAGAAGATTAAAAGTAAAAACATCATGTGTACTGAACATTTTATATGTGGGAAAATGTTTGTCTTTGATCTATCAATAACAGTCAAATAACATAAATAACGAATAAAAATAAAAAAAAATTACAATGTGCAAAACAGCAGCATCCAACAGTTTTAGTTGTATCTATCCATTATAACAACCATCAACTTTCTAACAGTGTAATATTTCCTTTGGGGCAGAAAGGCTAAGTGTGGAGATACGTCAGAGTCATTTATAAGGAGGAACAGGAGAAAGACTCCTTGATCAGTGGTCTAAACTCAGTGAGGGCGCAGTAAATCAGGCACATAAAACAAAATATTACCCTTGTGTCTCACTTACAGCATTACTCAACTCAAGGACCCAATACATGATATAGGATTATTTTATTCACTGTCAATAGTCAGGCCTAAAGCTGCCTTTAGATACAATTTGGTCTAGTGAATCAACATTTAATCAGACATAACAATTTGGTCACGGCATGCTTTCAAAATAGCTATTGTACCACAAAAGACTGACGCTATACAGTTTATCACAATTCAGCGCGAACCCTTTAAGGCTTTCCAGTGCCACATTTGAATTCTGACCAATCAAAATCCTTGTCCCGCCTGCTTCATTTGCATGCGATCTACTAGTGACACTAGTGACATTATGTTGCAGCTTACATGTTAACTAGTGAGTGCAAAAATGTCCACTAGTGACACTAGTAAAGGACAAAATGTCCACTAGTGACACTAGTAAAGGACAAAATGTCCACTAGTTGCACCAATGAGGGCATTTTGACCTTACTAGTTACACTAGTTAGGGGTAATTGTTCACTAGTGACATTAGTGAGAGTCATTTTGCCCTTACTAGATACACCAGTGAGGCTCAAAATGTCCACTAGTTCCACTAGTAGGGTTCTTTATTGCCTTAGAAGTTACCCAGTGACACATATTTCTTTTTACTTGTAAACTTGTAAGCTCTAATAACGGTCCACTAGTCGACGACTAATTGGCGTTGTTGGCGCACTCTTCGACGACTATGCCTTACAAGTTCAGCAAAAGTACACACTAGTCGACATGTAATAGTTATGATAACTCAAAGGCAGAATGCACAATTTTCAAGATGAAGCTGTCATTTCGAGCAGGGTCCACGAGCAACCTTCTCAGACACTTAAGAACTGCGCATCCAACAGTTCAGATGGAAGAAAAAAGACAGGCTAGTGTGCCTGCTACTGCCAGAAGCCGGATCAACCCGTCTAAGCTGAGGCATTTAAGAAAAATAAAATAGACTGCCTTACTGATTACCACCCAGTAGTACTTACTCCCATAGCCATGAAGTGCTTCGAGAGGCTGGTACTAGAACACATCAAGGACATCATGCCTGACAGTCTGGACCCCTTTCAGTTTGCCTATCGTAGCAACGGGTCCACGGAGGATGCCCTCTCCATAACACTCCACACCACCCTGTCCCATCTGGAAAACATGAATTGTTATGCCAGGCTGCTGTTTGTGGACTACAGCTCTGCATTTAACACCGTCATTCCATCCCAGCTCATCACTAAACTCCTGGATCTGGGGCTTAGCTCTTCACTGTGCAACTGGGTACTGGATTTCCTCACCGACAGACCTCAGCCAGTGTGTATTGGTGGAAAAACCTCCTCCATCATCACCATCAGCACTGACACCCCGCAGGGCAGTGTGCTGAGCCCCCTGCTTTACTCTCTCTACACCCATGAGTGTGTAGCTAAGTACAGCTCCAACTCCATCTTTAAGTTTGCTGACCTATAGGGAGGAGGTCAGACACCTGGAAGATTGGTGTCAGAACAACAACCTCTCCCTCAACGTCAACAAAACTAATGAGATGATTGTGGATTTCTGCAAACAGGCAACAGAGCACAGCCCCATCTACATCGGAGGTGAGGCTGTGGAGCAGGTCAGCAGCTTTAGGTTTAGGTTTAGGTAAGAAAGCACAACAATGCCTCTACTTCCTCAGGAGACTGAGGAAAGCCCGGATGTCCCCCACAACCCTGTGCAGATTCTGCAGGTGTACTGTGGAATCCATCCTGGTACAGCAGCTGCTCAGTTCAGGACAACAGAGCTCTGCAGCGTGTGGTGAACTCAGCACAGAAGATCACGGGCACACAGCTCCCTGCGATCCATGACATCCTCACTACACGCTGTCTCAGGGAAGTGAACTGTATCAGGCGGGACCCCAGCCACCCTGCACTGTCACTTTTCACCCTCCTCCCATCTGGGAAGCGACTGAAGTCCATTTGGACGCGTACCTCCAGGTTCAGGAACAGTTTTTACCCAACTGCAATCAGACTCATGAACATTCAGTAACCTTGTGTCACCTCCACTGCTACCCGCACATATATTTCTGTCTCTGTCTCTATTTGTTCCCTGGATTCTGGTCTTATTTATTTACTTATTTATAATTCACTTCATCATTCATCACTTGTCGTCCTGTTGTCTAGCCGTCTTGTTGTCTATGTTCACTGTCTGCAGGAGCACATGCAAGCAAGCATTTCATTGTACACGGTACTCGTACTTGTACACATGACAATAAAAAGAATTGAATTGGTTTGAAGTAAAGACAAACTAACATTTAGTGGTACTCTTTGGGTACAATTCTATGTTTAACATGTTTGATGAATGCTGTTTTTAATTTTATTTATCTGTAATTAAGTCTTAGTTTAATACGCGCAGCATTTTGGCGAGTCTTCCCGCCGGCGTCGTGCGGGCGTCCAACATTTCCTGAGCTATTTCACATACTTGAATTCCTGCTTTGTTAGGGGACACTGTGCTATTTTTATATTTTATGTATCATGCAGAATAATAGAGCGCAGGCTAAAGTGCAGTTCGGTCCCCAGCGTGTCTCACAGCGCAGGGGGCAGCCGGAGCGCCGCAGACTCGGGCGGCTACATGAGTATACAGTCAGCCCTTGTGCATTCGCGCTTCGTGATTCGTGAATTCACAGATCCGCTAAATTTTAATTGGAACAGAACTGTTTATGTTTCATTTTTGTATTAATTTATAAGTTTTCATGCTTTTAAGTGTATAATTGATTTATTGTATAAAGAAATTTAGTTTAAAAATTGTACTGTGTTTTTGAGGAAAGTTCAAGACATACAATATAAATCAGTTAAAAAATCCCTCTCCCTTGTGCATTCTTTTTTATGTACATACTGTACTGTACCTTTACAAGATTTGAATCCCATTCGCAAAGTTTATTCCCTTTGGAACTCTAATGGTTACATAAATATTAGAAAATAGTTAATTTGCTATTTTGTAATAGTAAATACATGCTAACGTAAATTCAATGCACAAAAATTATTAATTTCTTGAAAGGTGCTAATGTTTACGTACATAGCAAATGCGTCCCAGGTTTCCCTCTCGAGATGCATTTGCTATAAACACTGAAAGGGTTGGAAGTAGCCAATCACAGAGCATGGTTACCAGCTTTCCACCCTGCTGATTGTGGATTAACCGTATATGACTTCTGTCATTAAGCAGCTAATTAGTAGGGGTAACATTAGTATACTGTACTGTAAATGTGCTAATGTGACAAATATTTATTTTTTTCATCAAACATTTGTTTTATTTGAAAGGTAATATATTAAGCTAACTTTTAAATTAAAGTGTTTTGGGAGGATATTTAGGGTTTAAACTATAGAAATAATCACATACCATTTTTAGTGACTCAACCAAACATCCGCGAATCCTCCTCATTCGCGACGGGTTCTGGAACCTAACCTTGTGAATGTCTGAGATCTTACTGTATTGGGAATAAAATGTGTGTATTGGAGCGAGTTCTGTGTTAGTGAGTGTGTGAGGTGTGACAGTGATAATGATGGAGATGCTGGGCTTCGTGATGGGATTAATCGCTCTTCCTCTTGCCTACAGACTCCTGCCAGCTGACGCTGGACCCCAAGACAGCAAACAGAGACCTGTCTCTGTCAAAGGGGAACAGGAAGGTGACAGAGGGGGCAAAGCAGCCATATCCTGATCATCCAGAGAGATTTGACTACTGGCACCAAGTTCTGTGCAGAGAGAGTCTGACTGGTCGCTGTTACTGGGAGGCTGAGTGGAGTGGAGATGAAGCCCGGATAGCAGTGACTTATAAAGGAATCAGGAGGAAAGGAGACAGTGCTGACTGTGGGCTTGGAGCCAATGACAAGTCATGGATGCTGCGCTGCTCTCCTCGCCGTTACTCTGTTCGGCATAATAATAAACAGACTGACGTACCCATAAAGCCCTCAGGCTCCCGCAGAGTAGGAGTGTATCTGGACTGGGCGGCTGGTACTCTGTCCTTCTACAGAGTCTCCTCTGATGGACTGACCCTCCTGTACAGCTTCACCTCCTCATTCACTGAACCCCTCTATCCAGGGTATGGGCTTTATTATAGCTCCTCCGTGTCCCTGTGCATGCTGGGATAGCTCACTGTGTGCTGGAGGAATCATTTTTACCTTATCAGAGTGTCACATACCGCTGCTTCTCCATGACAAAAAGGTAAAATCTCTGCTTTTTAACCAGTATAACCCTTTTTACTCTGTCTGAAGTGTGACATATGTTAGACAAAAATAAATGACTGGGTTTGGCAAGCTGGACAAACACAGACAATTACTTTTTCTCTTTGATTAAAATGTAGTGAAATATAATCCTGATGAGTGTGGTAGGGGGGCCTTTCCCCTCTCCGTATATGTATATTTTATATATTTTTGTATGTACATTGTATTTGCTACCTGTACACTGACAATAAAGGTTTCTTATTCTATCCTATTAATGTCCTGGTTCAGCGCTGCTCAAAGTGTAACTTATACATGGAATATTATTTTGCACTGTACAACATAGAGCATAATCATTATGATATTATGAAAAAGCATGCCAAAAACACATTGTGGGGCGATGGTGGTGCAGGACGTAGTGCTACCGTTTGGCAACTAGAGGGTTGCAGGTTTGAGCCTCGGCTCCTCTTGATCCCATCGAAGTGTTAAGCAAGACACTGAACCCCAAATTACTCCCGGTGAGCTGGTTGGCGCCTTGCGTGGCAGCCTCCGCCACCGGTGTGTGAATGTGAGGCATAGATCGTAAAGCACTTTGGTACTTGTAAGAGTAGTAAAAAGCACTATATAAATGCAGTCCATTTACATTGAGTATGTATCTGCACCTAATGTTACCCTGAAAGTTTCTGTTAGCTATTTCATGTTAGCCCTGGTTGTATCAATATCCATTTATTATAGTTAATTTATTAGAGTTGCAGCTTATCACCACATTGAAAGACAAATATATTATCAACCCTCTAGTCAGCCAATCTGCAACAAGTTGAAACTGTCAAGGTTTGCTACAGAAGGGAAGGGATTCACGAAAAATTTCACGACTGAGTATTTTCAACAAACCAAGTAGAGATGGACGCGGCACAATTATGTTCAGACGAGGGACCAAACAGCAAAAGAAATGATTGACAAACTTACTATATCACCTAGCGATGTGGACCAAGGGAGATAACAATGATGGTGAATGGTTGAGGGAATGATGATGCTTAAGTGATGAGATATTGTTAAACAATAAGGAAATGTATAAGAATTGATGTAAAACAGTGCAGGACACACTTGCAAGTGTCCAGCCTTGGTTGTAAACTCATTGTTGCAATAAAGACTGAATTTGGATCTGCTTCTGACATGATTTGGCAGGGAAGGAAAAACAACAACAGACGTAACTGAGTAGAATAATGTAATTCAATGAAATAAATGCACCTTACTACAACTGAACATAACACAATTAGACTCAATCTAGTTGTATAATTGTTAGGCATGTAACGATGAATCGTGAATTGGTTAAAAATCGATGTAAATATATGACGATTGTCACGCCCACGGGGGCGGGACCCGACAGGTGCAGCTCATCAATCACCAATTAACCTCCCTTATAAGCTGAGCTGGCACAACACTTCCTCGCGTAGTATTGAGCCGATGTTTAGAAGCCATACAAAGCGTGATTCTTGTCTCTCGTCTACCCTTTTTCCCCAGCCCTGTCTGTTCACCGTGTGTACCATCCTTACCTTCTTGCCTTCCCTCCTTAGACCCGCTCCCGACCTTAGCCTACCTGTTCTGTTGAGCACGGCGTCTCCTGTCTCCCCCGCCTCGTGTGCCCCGGTCCTGTGCCTTCCCGTCGGACGGACTTCCCGGTTAACGAACCCTGCACCCGAACCCAGACCACGAATCCTGCTCGACCCTTTGGTACCTCGTCTTCAGCTCCCCTCCTCCGAGATCGGAGCAGTCTCTACGACTCTCCGCCCCGGCACCCCGGCAGAGAGGACCGCGCTCCTTTGCGACCCGGTGCCGCTCTTCCCCTTTGCTTGTTCTCCGCGGCCCCCATTAAAGGCTCATCATCCCTGCATCCCTGGATCTTTGTTTTCTTTCTTACCCGTGTGTGACAGAATACTTCGCCTGAATATGGATCCAGCAGGGAACTTGGAACGTCGGATAGCCGCTCTGGAGCAATTGGTCGCTTTGCAAGCCGCCCAGGTACCCCTCCCAGATTCTCCCCCACGTCCTTCTGCCCCTTTGTCTATCACCATGCCCGAACGTTATGACGGCAATCCAGACCAGTGCCGGGGATTCCTCATGCAATGTGGGATCTACGTAGAGGAGCACCCGGAGATGTTCCGTAACCCGGGTGCGGAAGTGCGGTTTACCATCTCCCTGTTGACGGGCCGGGCACGTGAATGGGCAACGGCTTTGTGGGTGGATGACAGCCCGCTCCTGACATCAGGGAGAGAGTTTCATCGGGCGCTGATGGAAGTATTCGACCATCCGGCGGTTGGAAGAAGACCCGGATTCTGGCTGTTAGAATGCCGCCAAGGTAATCGGTCGGCTGCTGACTTCTCCCTAGAGTTCTGGACGAGCTGTCCCACAAGGGAGAGGCTCCCTCGTTCGATGACCTTGTCCGGCAGGCGGTCGGGCTGGACAATACCATGAGTGACAGGCGGCGTCGACGTGCCCACACGGAGGCCCTTCGGGGAACACCCCACCTAGCGATAGAAGCTCCAGAACCTATGCAAGTCGGCCGCTCACCCCTTACCTCTGAAGAACAAAGAAGACGTCTTCCAGCAGGTCTCTGCTTGTATTGTGGAGGACCCGGTCATACCATCTCGTTCTGTCCTGTTCGGCCCGACCACGACAAGGCCCTCCTTCCGGTAGGTGTGTCTTCCTTAAACCCCATTTCTGTCATGTAGATCACTATACCGGTGTTCTTGGAGTGTGGGGGTAAGCTGCGGGTAATTTCATTGATTTCAACCTAGCTAACCAGATGGGGCTACCCCTGCAGACACTCTCTCACCCTATTTCTATGCAATGGGTTACTGGGGAACGGATGGTGGAAGGGACGATCCACCGTCGTGCAGGCCCGTTTGTGATGCAGGTGGGGGTCCTTCATCGGGAAGAAATCGGGGTGTTTGTTCTCCCTCAAGCAAAGGACTAGCTGATACTCGGACTTCCCTGGTGGAGAAGGCACAATCCGCACCTCGAGAGGCGCACTGGGGAGATTGTAGCATGGTCCGACCAGTGCCTACGTGACTGCTTATCGTGCATTCCATTTGCCTCGGATTCCGATTTTCGGAATCCGAGATTACGTCACATCCGGTAAAAACTCGGAAAAACCGAGTCGGATACGTTCCATTTGCCAAAGAAGTAGCAATACCATCGACCCATATGAAAAAGCAAGATTTTTTGCTTAGCCGGACAACTTGTCGGATTTAAGGTACCTCAGTTTAAATGGCCTTTATTTTCGTTCACTTACAATTAGCCCGAACTACCTTAAATCCGACAAATAATCCGACTATTCATGAAATCCAATTCTAGACCGGTTAATTGGTAGCCATTGTTAGCCATATCACTTGATAACACATTACGCGCGGTGCTTCACGTATAAAACTCCGTAGCAACACGTCCACAGATAAGTTGGACGGTATAGTGTGTGCGACCGATTTAATGAGCCAGAAATGAGAAGTAGTGCTTAAACAGGATAAAACTACAACTTTCCCTTCTGTTGATAAAGGGCGCAGCCATCTTCGATTCTGAACTCGGGATCCTCTGCGTTATCCGAGATCATTCTCGGATCTCCGAGAAACGGGAGCGCGCATGTCGTCACTTCCGGCTTCGAAACTCGGAATCCAACTCGGAATCCGAGTTCCCAGGGCAAATGGAACGCACCATTATCTCTTCCATGTAAAGCCACCGGAGTGGAAAGTCCCAAGCCGAAGAACCTAGGGGTTGTTCCGGTGGAGTATGAGGATTACAAAGACGTGTTCAGTAAAGAGAAGGCTTTTCATCTACCGCCTCACCGGGATTGCGATTGTTCTATTGAGCTCTTAACTGACGATACCTTACCTAGCGGCAGGTTGTACCCTGTTTCCTTGCAGGAGGAGGAATCCCTGGAGACCTACATCCACGAGGGGCTGAAACAGGGAATTATTCAACCATCCACATCACCCGTGACAGCCGGGTTTTTCTTCATTAAGAAGAAGGACGGAGGATTGCGCCCGGTGGTGGACTATCGAGCTTTAAACGCGATCACCATTAAGAGAAGGGAGCCACTACCATTAATCCCTTCTGCCCTGGAACAGCTTAGGGAAGCGGTGATTTTCACTAAGCTGGACCTGCGTAGCGCCTATAATCTGGTGAGAATCCGAGCGGGAGATGAATGGAAGACGTCTTTTATCACCAGTAGGGGGCAGTATGAGTATCTCGTTATGCCCTACGGGTTGGCTAATAGCCCCTCAATATTCCAAGCCTTTATGAATAAAGTGTTTCACGACATGTTGAACAAGTTCGTGGTGGTCTAGATCGATGACATTCTGATTGACTCTCCTTCTAAGCAGGATCACGTCCGTCACATGCGTCAGGTATTACAGCGGCTCAGGGAGCATCATCTCTTCGTCAAAGGGGAAAAGTGTGAGTTTCACCAGAGCTCAGTGAGGTTCCTGGGATATGTCATTCAACCCGGAGCTATAGCTATGGATGACCAGAAGATCTTGGTCATACAAGGCTGACCGCGACCCAAAACCCTCAAAGACCTGCAGCGCTTTCTTGGATTTGCCAATTTCTACAGGAGGTTCATTCGTAATTACAGCAAGATCGTGGCCCTTCTCACCTCGCTCACTCGTGGGAAACCTGCTCGGCTTAGCTGGACCCCGGAAGCTGATCTCGCCTTTACCCGGCTGAAGCATGTGTTCTGCACGACCCCGGTGCTGAAACAACCACGACCTGATCTCCCTTTTGAAGTGGAAGTGGACGCTTCTGATGCTGGAGTGGGAGCCGTCTGGATACAGCATGATCCTGAGACTGGAAGACGACATCCTTGTGCGTACTTCTCCAAGAAGCTGACTTCAGCAGAGCGTAACTATGCTGTAGGCGATCACGAGCTCCTATCCATGAAGTTAGCGTTGGAGGAGTGGCGTCATTGGCTGGAGGGAGCCCTGCACCCCTTTGTCGTGTTCACCGACCACCGTAATTTAGAGTATCTTCGATCAGCCAAACGACTTACCTCCCGTCAGGCTCGCTGGGCGCAGTGGTTCGCTCGCTTCTCGTTTCGTGTCAGTTACCTGCCTGGAAGTAATAACGTGAAGGCAGACGCCTTGTCCAGGCAGTTCGACCCCCCCGAAAGTGAAGAATGTACTTACCCGATTCTACCTCCATCCTGTTTCGTTTCGTCGATCACCCGGGGCTTGGAAGAAACTATCATGTTGGAGAACGAGAACCGAGCTTCCCCAGCGGGCTGCCCTCCTGGTTTACTGTATGTGTCGCCTACTCATCGCCAGGAGTTGCTTCAGTGGATCCATGCACAGCCAGGCACAGGACACACCGGGGTGTCCGCTACCCAGCTTCTGGTTGCCCATCGGTATTGGTGGCCTGGTTGGCGGCAACAGGTCCAGGCTTTTGTTGAGAGCTGTGCTGACTGTGCTAGATGTAAGTCTCCTACCTCAAGCCCCACTGGCCTCCTTCAGGCCTTACCTGTTCCCTCCAGACCTTGGTCACATGTCGCAATGGATTTCATCACGGACCTACCCCGGTCTGCGGGTAAAACCACTATACTCACCATTGTCGATCGCTTTTCAAAGATGTGTCGTTTGGTTGCTCTCCCTAAGTTGCCTTCTGCTGTGGAACTCGCTGAGATCCTCGTTAATGAGCTCTTTCGTTTTACAGGCATCCCCGAGGATCTCGTCTCTGATCGGGGACCGCAGTTCACATCCCGAGTGTTTCGAGAATTCTGCTCCAAATTAAAGGTGTCGCTCAATCTGACCACTGCTTATTACCCCCAGCCCAATGGCCTAGCCGAACGCACCAACCAGGAGGTGTCCAAGGCTCTTCACCTGCTGAGTAGGACCGACCCAGCAAGCTGGGCCTCTCACCTGGTTTGGGTGGAATATTCCCTTAATTCTTGAGTGAGTCCAGTCACAAAACTGACCCCTTTCCAATGCGTACTTGCATTCCAGCCGCCTCTATTCCCATGGGATTCACTGCCTGGGACAGTGCCCCGCGTGGAAGCCTGGTTTCAGGACAGTCGGCGAGCCTGGCGTCGAATCCAGATGGCCCTCCGTAACCAGGCCGATCGCCATAAGCTTCAAGCGGACCATCACCCCCGTCCGGGATTCCCCTACAGAGCG